CGGCGCCCACCAGCCAGGGCGGAGGCGGCCGCAGAAGCTGAGCCCTCCGGGGCGGGACGCTCGCGGGCCCAGGGCGCCTGGCCCTCGCGTCTTCGGCCAGCCACCCGGAAGCAGTCCCCAGACACCTACCGCCGCTTCCGCTCGGGGCCCGTCGTTTTCGGTCCTCCTGAGCCGTGCCCGGCCTCCGCGGGGGCCGCCTCGGGCTCCGCGCCCGGGACGCGGGAGGCTTCCGAAGTTGATCTCCAGCTGGGCCGTGATGTCATTGGCGGCCTTCCGGAAAACAGGGGAATCCTCCTCTTGCTCGTCCTTCACCAGCTGAAACACAGTTACCGCATCACGCACGCACGTGCACACAGCTGTCCACGGACGCGCATCTGCTGCAGCGTCCTAGGGACAGGCCACTCTGAGGCGCCGCTGAGCAGCTAAAACACCGGCAGGGGCTGCCAAGAGCCCGCCCAGAGGTGCGCCCGGCCCTGGTGCAGGGCCGGACAAAGGACGCCAGCACTGCGGCTCTGGTTCTGACAGAATGCGTTCCGTCCACTTCCCAGCCACACATTCTCATCCTTACAATCTTAATCCAACCGTCTCTGACTTACCAGGACTCCAAAGACTGTAAGTACATCTTGCTGAGATTAAAAAGTCCTGTTTTCTATGTGTCCACAAACGCTACTTTGATAAAGAAATATTTCCTTCCTCAAATAGAATTTGACAGAGAAATTCCTTTCAGTGTAGATTCTGTCTGCACAAATACCCTGTGTTAAAAACTGCATGACTTGACAATAAACAATTCAGACCCAAAATATACGGACAGACAGCAGTGTGATTATCTGAATGTTGCTACCAATGCTGCACAAAGACGTTGAGCTTCTTGTTAAGAACCACTCGAGATAAAATTCTTTGAGATAACATTTCAAAAAGAGTTCAAAAAATAGCTAGCTCTTGTTAAAAGCAAACTATATCAAATAAGTTTCATCTAAACTGGATCTGGCTTCAACTCATTAAAATGGACAAAGCACAAACACCTCACTTCACCCAAAGCATAAATCTACAGGGGAGACAACATGACAGTGGTCGCGGGCGAGACTCTCCCAAGTGCTCTGAGGTCACACATCTCAACAGTGGGTCCAGGACGTGGGAGAAAACTTCCAGGAGTGCATCGGCCCCTGGGGGCCACATGTTCATTATAGGTTTTGTGTTTAACACTTATATCCCCCTTAAAGTTTTACATTAAAATAACACAGGGCATCAGGCATAGAGACTCTTGATTTTGAAAGGTAAAGGAGGCCGGGCATCATGGCTTTGGGAGGTGGAGGCAAGAAGACTGCCTGAGCTCAGGGGTTCGAGACCAGTCTGAGCAACATGGTGAGACTTCGCCTCTGCAATAAATCCAAAAATTAGCCAGGCGTGGTGGTGCACACCTGTAGTTCCAGCCATTTGGAAGGCTGAAGCGGAAGGATTGCCTGGGCCCAGGAGGTCAAGGCTGCAGTGGCTGTGAGCATGCCACTGCATTCCAGCCTGGGTGACAGAGTGAGGCTCTGACTCGAAAAAAAAAAGGTAAAGGAAAACCGCCCAGGAGCTGGTGAAAAGATAAACACAAAGAGAAGCAAAAAATAAATGACAGCCTGGTTAGAAAACAACTGGCTGGCAGGGGCGCCGGCAGGGGGCGTGAGAGCTGCCTCCACCCCAAGGGCGGGTACACGGGTTCACGGGTTGCTCCTGCCCTGCCCGGCGCCCTGGGGCTTCACCCGCCGAGAGTCTCAGCCAGGCGGTCAGGTCCGACCTTTGCGAGCAACCAAGTTCCCCACCCACAAGAGCACTATTATCCGAGTGCTTCTGTCTCAGGGCAGCCAGGAAAAGGGAGTTAATGTCCCCAGGCTGCGACATTGCAGCAAGAACGCTCCAAGACCAAGCCCAGGACTCAGACGCTCCAGGAGCCCTCTGGGCTCAGGGAGGATGAGTCTGGCCAGGGCGGATGAGTCTGGCGTGGATTAGGGAGGAGCAGTCCCTGACCCAACAAGCTGCAGCACATTTCACACCCTGACTGCAAGGAGGATCAGAGAAAGCTCTGCTTACGATGCCCAGAACGAAAGAGAACAAAGGAAGCGAAAGGTAAAGCGCCCACCCAGCTAGCTAACGGACTTGTAAAGACCCTCACAGAGATTTCAAGCGAAGTAAGGCTCTGGCCTGCCGTGTCTCCAAAGAGCCATTTCTTGTGGAACCGCTCGACATTTGAAAGTAAGGCCTCTCCCAGCTTGGGCTGGCCAAAACCAGAGGGGTGGCGTGGGAATCCTGTGCCTGAAACGATGCTCTAATCACAGCATCCACTCAAAGAACACAACTAACCAAAGTGTAAAAGGGAACACGGACACATCCACACAGCAGAGCACTCCTGCCCTTCAGACTGAAAGTCCATGAATCCCCACATCCACACCGTGACGAGGATCAAGCTGTGACTGAACAGTGCAAATTCCGAACTCCATCATCTGTGCGCCTTAAACAGAATTTAAGCAGCCCACATAGAATGTGACTAAAAGACCCAATGGTCATCCTGATCAATACTGCAGGCAGAAATTCTTCCTGGAACACCTCCCTTCAAAACGGAAGCGCCCAAGAAAGACCTGAGGGTCATCCGTGGAAATCAAGGCCCTCTCAACACAGGCGCTCCCTGAGCAGCAAACGCCTCAGCCTGCTGGCGGCTGGGGCGCAGCCTGCGCGCAATCTGGGGCTTATGGTGGGCGGAGGGCTCGAAGCTGCTGAAATAACATGGGGGGAGATGTCACCAGAGCAGAAAGCCCCAACTATAGTTTCAAGAATGACTGACTACTCCCAACAAAATGCCCGTATGAAGAACGAGAGCCGGGCGGGCACGGAGGCTCCTGCCTGTAATCCCAGCACTCGGAAGCTGAGGCAGGAGGTCGCTGGAGCCCGAGAGTCCAGGGCCGTCCTGGGAAGCAGCCAGATCGCGTCTCCACAGAAAATCAAAAAAATTAGCCAGGCATGATGGCTCGTGCCTGTATCCCCAGCTACTCGGAGGCTGAGGCAGAAGGATCGCCTGAGCCCAGGAGGTTGAGGCTGTGGCGAGTCCTGATCATGCCACTGTACTCCAGCCTGGGGACAGAGTAAGACCCAGACCCCAAAAATAATTAGAGCAGAAGATGATCCAGTCAGAAAAACCCAGAGGAGTGATCCTGTGACCTAGTTTCATATAAGAAATATCCTGTACTTCTCTCACTTAAGAGACACAATGAAATACAATTAACATACAGCATTTATTCAGCCTCAGCACAGGTCTGGGGGGGCACAGAATGCATTGTCACTGTAGCTGCCTTGTACTTACATGTCAGGACATCAAGTTTCAGCTCCTTTGATTAATGAACAATAAAGACACAGTAAAACTGGCCACACATCCTTTCTGATTAGAAACAAGAAGGCCGACTGCTCATGTTCTGTTTTCAAAAGGCAAGGGGAAAGGTGCACTTCATCCCAATAAGGTGAAAGTAAAGGTTACCTCTGGACACAAAATGCAATGCTTACATCGTCTCTGTACTTGGACTTGTGAATCACCACAGCTTTGGAAGGAACAGCGGACTCTGGCTTCCGGATGTTAAACTCGGGCTTCGGTCTGGTTTGCTCTTGAAGATTTTTCCACTCATCTAAAGTCATCTCCTGAACTTGAGTTTCTTCTTCCACTTCCAACTCGGGAACTCTATAAAGATGCATAACCATAAGAAATAATTTCTGATGGGGTTAAAATGGCTACTTTATCAAGGAAAAAGTTATAACCATTAGTTTAACATAGTTTTGTGGTACCGCATCTCAAATGTAAATAAGAAAATCCTTGAATCATAAGCTTCCACGTTTTATTTTCATTATTTTATATCATCACAGCCAAATGAAGATATTTCCTATCTATGTTCAAAGCAGCCTTTGAAAACCAGGTAATCATCCAGTGACGTCAGCACTGCACGTCACCACAGGGACTCCCTTCCAGATGGCATTACAGACAGCATGAGATCACTGTGGGAGAAAATGGGGGAGGCTACTGAAATAAAGTACAGGAACCCACAAACACAAGCTTAAAAACAGTGGGCACAAAGGCACACTTTTATAAATATCCTCTTTAAATTAATGAGTTTTAAAAAGAAAACAGAAGACAGATGTCTAGCTCAATAGAATATAATTCAGAGTCCAGGAAAAAAACCTTTGCATTTATGATCAACTGATTTTTGGGGAGACCAGGGTGCCAAAGACAATTCAATGAAGAGCAAAAAGCCTTTTCAACAAATGGTGCTAGGACAACTGGATGTTGACATGTAAAAGAATAAAGCTAGACCCTACCTCACACCATAAGTGTAAGAGCTAAAAGCATAAAACTCTTAGCAGACAACAGGCTGAAATCTTTATCATCTTGGATTAGGTTATGATTTCTTCCATATAACACCAAAGCACAAGCAGCAAAAAGCATATAAATTGAACATCATCAAAACTTTTATGCTACAAAGGACACCACCAAGAAAGCAAAAAGACTACCCACAAAGTGGGAGACAATATTTTCAAATCATATAACTGACAAGGGACTTGTATCTATAATATTTAAGTCACTCTTTATGAAGAGCCGGGCATGGTAGTTTGTGCCTGTAGTCCCAGCTACTCCAGAGACTGAGATGGGAGAAGGGCCTAAGGCCAGGAGTTTGGGGCTAACAGTGAGTGGTAATCACACCTGTCAACAGCACCTGCATGCCAGCCTGGAAAACACAGTGAGACACCATCTCTTTAAAAAAAAAAATCCTCTATGAATTCTAGGTACGCGTCCTCTTTAGCTGGGGCAAATGACCCAACTAACAAATAGGCAAGCGTCTGGATGAACAGTTTTCCAGGAAGACAGACAAATAGCCAGTAAGATATTGCATGTCCTTAACCATCAGAGAAATGCAGATAGAAACCACAATGAGTTGTACCATGCCACATCCACAAAGATGGCTAGAATCAAAAAGACATTTCACAAGTGCTGGGGAGGATGTGGAGAAACTGAAACCCACATACACTACTGGTGGGAATGTAAAATGGTGTGGTCCTCTGGAAAATGGTCTGGCAGTTCCTCAAAAATTTAAACAGAGTTAGTCTACAGCCCTGCAGTTTCACTCCTGGCTAAATTTCCAAGAGAAATGAGAACATATGTCCATGTGAAAACGCACAAAGTGTTCACTGCAGCACTACTCATAATAGCCAAAGAGTGGAAACGACCTAAATGTCCATCAACTAATGAACAGGTAAATACTTTATTTGGCAATAAAGGACCAACACACATTATATGAACAAACCTTGAAAACATGTGAAGTGAAATAAGCCAGGTTCAAAAGGCATATGCATGATTCCACTTGCATGAAAAATTCAGAAGAGACAGATTCATAGAGACAGAAAGCAGAGCAGTAATAGCTAGGGCTAGGGGTAGCGGGGTGGGGGTGACTGCTTAGTGAGTATGAGGTTTTCTTCTGGTATGATGAAAATGTTCTGGAACTAGATAATAGTGATGACTGCATAACACTGTGAATGCACTAAACGCCACTGAATTGTTCACGTTAAAAGGATGAAAATTGTAAATTTGTGAATCACCACAAAAATATGCAAAAAAGAAAGAAATGAAGTTCTGATACATGCTACAACATGAATGAATCTGCAAACATTATGTTAAGTGAAATACGCCAGGCACAAAAGGACCATATTGTATGATGCCTCTCACAGGAGGTGCCTGAGACAGGCACATTCATGGAAACGGAAAGCAGATTAGGGTTCTAGGGACCTGGGGAGAAGGAAATGGGGAGCCAGTGTTCAGTGGGTTCGGAGTTTCCGTTCGGGAGGAAGAGAGAGTTCTGGAGAGGGGTGGTAGTGATGGCTGCACCCAACATGAACGTAATTGGTGCCACAAAACTGTGTGTTTCTAAATGGTAAAAGTAGCCATTTTTATGTTTTCACCACAATTTAAAAATAATGTGACATATCCCAAACCACTGAACTATATATTTTAAATGTCCAAGTGAGCAGGGCTCGGTGGCTCAGCCTGTAATTCCACGTTTTGGGAGGCTGAGGTGAGTGGACTGCCTGAGCCCGCGGGTTCGAGACCCGCCTGGGCAACTTGGTGAGACCTCATTTCTACAATAAATCAAAAAATTAGCCGGGTGTAGTAGCACGCGCCTGTAGTTCCAGCTACTTGGAAGGCTGAGGCGGAAGGATCGCCGAACCCAGCAGGTCGAGGCTGTGGTGGTCAGAAGCTTGCCACTGCACTCCAGTCTGGGCCATGGAGTGAGACGCAAAAAAACAAACAAACAAATAAATAAATAAAATAAATGTCCAAGTGTATGAGAATTATATCTCAATAAAGTTGAGAAAAAAAACCAGTAGGTAGAGAGTGGAAGAGAATCAAATTTATATTTTCACTATAGCATGATTTAAGGTTCTAGAAATGTACAGGTTAGTAGCGTAAAAAAAAAAAAGCCAAATAGGGAGAGAAACCTAAGCGCAGAGCATCCAGAATAGACACATTTGCGGTGTCTGTACAGCATCAAGCTGACAGCAGACAAACATCCAAGTAGTGGCTGGCTACCTCGGAAGGAATATGAGGAACTTCCTGGGATAACTGGTCACGTTCTATATACTGACAGGAGTTTGGATTCCACAAGGATAAGCATTTGTCAAAACAGTGAGTGTACACTTAAGATGTGCACATTTCACAGCATATAAATTTTACATCAGAAGAGAAAAACTAAAATATTAAGTTCTATTTAGTGATACGCATATTGAACTATGAGGGGATATATACAGTCTATAATTTACTATGGAATGGGTCAGAAAATATGATGGATTAGTGACGGACAGATATGTGGTAAAACAAATATGGTAAGATATACATGGTAGAATTTAAGTGGTGGCGGCAATAGATGTTCTTCGTAAAATTCTTTGAACTTTGCTGTATTTGAAATTTTTCATACAAAATGCTGGAAAAAGACCAGTATTAAAACACAGATCTCAAACATATATCAGCAAAACGCTAAGAGATACTAAGAAAATATTTTTAAATAACCAATTACTGGAAACAACCCAAAGCCATCTAGAGAGGAATTTGGTGGAAAAGCTATATTAAGCAGCTAGAGAAGGAAGGAAGACTCTTTCTTTGCACCGCCATGGGGCACCTTCCAGATATGGGGAGAAAAAGTTAGGTGGGGGTACAGAATACTACCATTCGCCCCCAAAATGGGAGGGAGGCACACAAGCATATATTCATATCATACATACTTTAAATGTTGGAATATAAACCAGGAAAGAACAGGGGTAAGCCGGGCTTGGTGGCTCAGCCTGTAATCCTGCACCTTGGGAGGTTGAGGTGAGTGGATTGTCTGAGCCCGCGGGTTCGAGACCTGCCTGGGCAACTTGGCGAGGCCTCATCTCTACAATAAATCAAAAAATTGCCGGCGTGGTAGCATGCGCCTGTAATTCTGGCGACTTGGAAGGCTGAGGTGGAAGGATCACCGGAGGCAGGTTGAGGCTGCGGTGACCGGGAGCGGCCACTGCACTCCAGTCTGGGTGACAGAGTGAGACTCCAACTCAAAAAAAAATAAATAAATAAAATAAAAAGAACAGGGGTAGAAGCTACTTGAAAAACCATGTTTTTCAGACTCAACTTTGGAAACATGTAAATATTTTACATAAATATAAAACAGATTTAAATTAAAATTCAATCCCTAAAATTTGAAAGTAAAATGAATCAAAGGAGCCTAAATGTTTATGAAGTTGATGATATAACCATCAAGAGAAATGATTTCAAGTGATTCTGCAATACAAATTTGATTACTCATCACCATCCTCTACATACTTTTCAGAAACCCTACCACTGATGGCAGTTCTGGCAAAGATAGGGACAGTTGCAGGTGCAGCAAGTGATTCACTGCATGATGTCACTCAGAACTAGGATTTTCAGTATGTAAGAAAGTCTGGGTCAGAATCCCGTATCCGAAATGAGGTGGGAAACCTTGAATGAATTCATATTTTATTTTGTAATACGTGTGTGTGGGTGTTTATTTCCCAGCTCTGTCTGCTGAAATGCCCCAGAAACAATGAAGAGCCCAGCAGCAGTGGTTCTTTTTTTTTTTTTTTTTTGAGTTGGAGTCTCATTCTGTCAC